GCTACCGACGCTCCGCTTCCTCGCCGCCCCGCCTAGTGCCCACCCACTGCCGGACCAGCCTGCTGTCAGGGATCTAGAGTCCGAAGGAGGCAGCAAACCCTGCCCCTGGCGGAGGTGTCGTCGGCTTAGCTTTGCGCAGTCACAGAAGCCCGCGATCGTAGTGTAGTTGAGTTTATGTTTAATAAATGAAAGTGAAAATTGTACTGTCGCGAAAGTTTCTTTTTTTGCAAAGGTACTGTCGAGAAAGTTGCGGAGGTTAAAAGTATTTTTCAAAACATGGGCTCAAAACATATGATTTTCTGTTATATTAAAAAAACGGTGGTCGTCTAGGCCAACCGCCCAACCGGCGGATTTTTTTTTTAATTTTAATCTTTTTTCGAAACTAATTTTAAATCTAACACGTCCGATTTTTTTTAAAACTAACAATTTTGGCGCGCTTATTGCCTGGCGGCGCGCCAAATGCTCGTCTCACGCGCCATGCATGGTGGCGCGGCACACGTAAGGCGACGTGGCGGCGACTAGAGCGATGATCACGATGATGAGGCGAGGGCCCGCCGCTGCTATCCATCTTAGTGCGGCGATTGCCGCCGCCAGGTCATGGCGCTGGTGGGCCAAATAAAACCCATTGCCGATCATGCCAAATTTCGAAAGAAGAAGCTCGCCGCATGCGCCACCGCCAACCCGGCGGTACCTGGACGGTTTAATCGGAACGCGTCGCGCCGATGGTGGGAGTTGTTGTAAGTATTGTTTGACGTAAAATGAATAGTGAATTTGTTTCTATATTTTGTTAAATTTTTGCAAGGCCGAATAGAGAAATTGATAAGGCAATTGATATTTTTTCCGTCTTTCATAATACGGTTAAACACCATGTTAACTAATCGATTACGAAAAATTGGATCGGATTGAAACAAATATTTTTTGAAAGCCGTTTTTTGAACTAGTTGCTACTTAATCTCGCAAGCAGTGATGTCACGACGCATTGAAATGAATATGAAGCAAATAACATAAGTTGACAAGCTGCCACATAAGTTTGACTTAAGTTCGATATAACATAACCAAATAAGCCTGCAAGTTTTGGACCCCAATAATAGTTCGACCTAACAAACTAAGACCCAGGAGTGTAAGGATTCTTCGGACGTCTCTGTCTCTTCGGATTTGTTGGCAACACATTGGAAGTGTAGCCAACGTCGGTGCGGTCACGTCGCCGGTGCGTATGGCTCATACCCTACAAGTATGTGATATGCACGATTACTTAGAATTTTTGTGGTCGTTAGTTCATGTAACCTACGTATTTAAAGAAACTACCTTTGTTAGTACATGTGATGCTCCTTGGGTGCCAAGCGAGGCACCACCTAGCTGAGACATGCCGATCTCGTCCTGCAGCCAATCTTCCCACTCGTCGTCGTCGTCGTCCTCGATTGCAGGGTCCTTCCTAGTGCTATAATGTGGTGGTGTACACACTGCGGAAGTGGCACCTATCACCGGCTGAGAAGAACTGGTTGGCGTCCTCAAAGAGGCTGAAGATGTACCACCCGACTGTGCTGGGAGTGGCGGTTCCTCATAAGGAGTGTCCATGCAGCTCAACTTTTGAGCTACCTTCCTGCAGCTCTTCTTCACCTTATGCATAAATAGACGTTAAAGTTAGCGCATTTCACAAACGCATATACACTAAAGAAACAATTTCGGAACAGACTAGTTTATGTTTACCTCCACAAAAGCCGGTACGCTGCTTCATTGGATAGTCTCGACAATTGTGTCGCCTGGGTTTATAAACACGGTTGAACATTTTTAGTATACATAATTAATACCAAATGGATAATAAATTGTACCATTCAAGTATCTTACCACGTATCTTTGTAGCAGGGCTCTCTGTAGCTGTGTGTCCTCTCTAGTGGCAACGTCGTACACATCTTCGATCATATCTCCCTCCGAGTCCTTGTCAATCGCCTCCTCAGTGTACGGGGGCTTGATATGTGTCCTCGTAGACCTATGAAGCCAGCGCAGGTACTCATCGAAGGTGTGCTGGTCGTGTGGAGGACCCGCATGGACTGGCTGCCGTTCCCTGGTCTCCCACAAGTGGATGTACGCACTGTGTGTCACGCGCCAATCCTTGGTCTTGTATCTCTTCCTGCGGTCAAACCTGTAACAAAATGATGTTAGTTCTACCACACATCTCTGGATTGTAGCTCTGTTATTAATAAGTAACGCACCCGTGCAATACTTGGTTGGTGGAGTAAAGCGGTGGTGGGCAGCCTGTCATTCTTCCAAACTGTCTGCAGACCCTGACGGGGAAGTGAAACTCGACCACGTGGAAGAAAATAAGAGGGACGTTGCAGTGATACTCATTTGACTCGTCCCTAGTGACAGGACTGAGATAGTTCTGGAACTCCGGAGCATCTCAAGGACACCAATGCACCTGAACATTTCGTAATTGAGTTAGGCTGTGGTATAGTGTAGATCGAACAAGACACAGGTATGATAGTAAAAAGAGTGTAACCTGGTGCTGTGTCAGGACGTCGAGACCGTCCGTGTACTCCCTGTACTTATGCCTCGCATTCCCTCTAACTAACTCTGATTCCGTCTAGATAAACAGAGCTGTAGGGAGTGTATCCTGCCCATTCTATTGATGCATTGAACAAGATAATGAATTAGTCATTAATAAACTCATCATATGTAACCATATCGAAGAATATAATGAACCCAAGTACTTACCGATAAACCCATATTAAGGGGCCTCCCAACGGGCCATCGTTCCCAACACCAAATCTGGAGTAGGTACGAGCAACCCCAAGGTTCGCATACCCTGAGGTGCAACGGTAGGCAACGCATAGCTGTCGATACGTCCATGCCAGGACAGCGCTGCCCCAGCTGTACGCCGCTATGTTCTCCCACGGCTGGCGTAGTATGTCAAGGAAGATCCAGCTGATGGTGTTGCCCGAGACGTCTGGAAAGAGAAAGCACCAAGAAAGTGCCAGAGCCACACTCGAGCGAACCTGTCGATCTGAGCCTCCTCAGCTTATGGGTCCAAGAAATCAAAGCGCTCCGTGATCCAGGACGACGAAACACCAGAAGTTTTCCTAAAATTTACCAAAGAAAATGAGACCCGGTGGCTGTAGGAAAGCGATGCAAATATTAAATAGGCTTGAATTTCTCACTTATTTTTCTTGGAAGCCTCGTCGTCCGGTGGAACAAAGCCAGTAAACTGAGCCACTAGCTCCCTCCAGTGATCGTTGTCAACTATCCCTGTCACTGGAAGTCCCCCCAACCGAAGGCCTAAAATAGCCTTCACGTCCTGCAACATCAAGGTTATCTCGCCATAAGGTAGGTGGAACGTGTGGGTCTCAGGCCTCCACCTGTTATAAGAATAGAACGACTGTTAGTTGCCTCAAATTTGTTACAAGAAAGTTTACGTACAAAGAATGCACTCGCACATGTCTACAACTGCGGTAAGTAGTGCTGGGTCAAGGGGCGGAAGACCGTGGTTGACAACACGGACAAGCTCGAGGAAGCCGGCACGCCGTATGTACTGCGCGTAACGCTCGTCCCACTGGTGAGCCCTGGTGTGCGTGTGGGGCCTCAAAGGAGGCAAGGCCACCTCTACGTCGTTGTCACTCAAGATGTGTGCTCGGTACTGGTCGTCGTACTTCACCTCAAGAATGGGGTACAACGGGTGCTGCGTGGGATGGGCTATCCTGTTATAAATTGATAAACAAAGCGTTAGAGTACTCAAATTAACAAAATTCAAATTAACATTATATAGCATTGCAAAGTAAAATATTCACTCTAACCCAAAATAAATCGGCACAAGGATAGGATAAACAAGCGCGCAAAAGAGGTAAAGCCCGATGATCATGTGCTAGGAACGTGGATAGAGGCTAGAGATCGTAGTACGATAAAGCCAACCAAGAAGCGAGGGAGCCAGTTACGCTCAGCGTTATGGCCACGGCGGGATGAACCTACGATCGAAATGTTCGAATGGAACACGATCCCTCGACCGGCTCGCTACAATCCCTAACTAAATAACTAACTATAAACTAAATAATAACCGGATCTACCAGTGACAACCGCATCGCTACAATCCCTAACTAAATCAATAACTATAAACTTAATAACAAATACCTAATCAATCCCTAAACCCAAAATCCTAACCTGAAAACTAAAAACTACATACGTATATCACAAACTAATTATGCTAAAACAATAATAATCATAATAACATTAAACCCAGAGAGAGATATCTTAGGAGCGGGCGGCCTCGACACGCCGAGGTTCGTGGCGCGGCCGGCCTTGGTCTTCTTGGGCGAGGGTCGCCGAGTGGCGTGGCCATGCCAGGCGGCGAGGGCGCGCGAGGCGCGCGCGGCAGGTAGCGGCAGCGACAGGCGGCGATATGGCGATGGCCGATGGCGGCGTAATTTGTCACTTGGCCAGGCGAGGCGAGGTGCGTCGGCCGGAAGCTCGGCCGCGGGGTTTTATTTGGTCCAGACGCGCCATGACCCCTGGCGCGGCACTGCCACGCCAAGATGGGTGGCGCGGCAGGCCCTGCCCCGTCAGCGGTCATCGCTCCTGGTCGCCGCCACATATGTATGGCGCGGCATAGGCATTTGGCCGCGCTAGGGTAATAAGCGCGGCCAAAAGTGTTAGTTAAAAAAATCGAGCGTATTAAATTTAAAATTAGTTTGAAAAAAAAGATGAAAATTTAAAAAAAAATCGCACGGCGGCAGCAACAAACTAACGCCCACACCTCACGAAGCGGAGCCCCCCTGCAACAGTGTTGTCCTGTCCTGTCCGGTCCGGTCCTCCCAATCCTCCGTCCCTCCTCCCCTCCCTCCTTTTTTGAACTGACCACCGCCCGGCGCTGCTCTGCGAGCCTGCAAAGCTGCAACAGTGTTGCGGCAACACACCGTCGCCTCGCTTTTCTTCGCTCACGCCGCCGCCACCGTCGCGCGCCTTGACAAGTCCTTAGCTAGGTCTTGCTCCCTCCTCCCCAGCTTGTCGTGGCAATGGATGACGGCGGCGAGGGCTCCGCGGCTGCGGCTGCGGCTGCTGAGGCGGCGGCCGCGGAGGAGGTGGTGGCGAGGAACCCTAGGTGCTTCCTCGACGTGAGCATCGGCGGGGAGCTGGAGGGGCGGATCGTGGTGGAGCTCTACGCCTCCGTGGCGCCGCGCACGGCGGAGAACTTCCGCGCGCTCTGCACCGGCGAGAAGGGCGTCGGCCCCGAAACTGGCGTGAAGCTCCACTACAAGGTCCGCTCCGGTTGGCTCCCGTGTGCATTTTTTTTTCGTGTTTTCGGCTGCAGGGGGGTGGGGTTTGATGTGGTGCGGTTGCCTGTCGGGGTTTAGTGCGGCAGTGTAGGCATTTCGATATGGGAGTCGTGTGATTTTGTTGGTCGAATTGGGGTTCGTCCTCTCTATTAGTGCGATTCGAAGATTAGCAATTAGGTTTTGGAATTTTGGTTGGTACAAATAGAGAGGTTTGCTAGAGATTAATTTGGTTCTCAATTCTGTAACAACCGAGTTCCTAACGTTCGCTCGGTCGAATTTTAGCTGTAAACTTCGTCAGGTGTGACTCATGAACCAGTACAATGATATCGCGCCGACTGTTGCAGCTGTCAGCTTCTGGTGCGCTTTTTACTGTCAGTAAAAGTCCCCCTGGCTCTCGGAGCGTGGTCTGATGTAGGGGGTGTATGATGCGGTGACTAAAATTTAGGAGGTGTCACATGGGGTTTAGGAGGTGTCACGTGAGGTGGGTGTCGACGGGGATGTTTGGATACTAATAAAAAAACAAATTACAGAATTCGGCTCCACGAGACGAATTTATTAAGCCTAATTAATCCATCATTAGCACATGGTTACTGTAGCACCACGTTGTCAAATCATAGACTGATTAGGCTTAAAAGATTCGTCTCGCAAATTAGTCGCAAACTATGCAATTAGTTTCGTAATTAGTCTATATGCATGTGTCAAACATCTGATGGGACAGCAACTTATTAGATTAGGAGGAGAACTAAACACCATGAATAAATGCAACTTCATCGGTGCAGATGTACTGTTATCGCAGCTTATCCAACGCGGTTTTGCCGATCTAAGTTTTTGATGTGCTAGTGACGTGCGATTATAGTTTTAGTTTGTAGATTTTGTGTTTACTTCATTCAGTGCTCTTTTTCCAAGGCCTTCTGCTTTGATTCGACGGACTCGTTTGTGGGGTCTTTATTAGAACTGTTTGGTTGTAATGTTGTTTGCTTTTGTTTTTTGTAAAATCTAAATTGCTGTGCTGCTTTGCAATTAATTTTGATGTAGTACTGCCTATTAGTGGTGCTACAGTGCTGGTACAGGTAAACATGGCCCTACCTCCATTTTGGACCTCACCCCACTTAACATGCATTTGTCCTTCCAATAGTTGCATTCTTTCTAGTAGTCTGAAGTACTTGATGAAAGCCCACACATACGGACATAGCATTGGGCTATCAAATTTCATATATTTTTCTGTGGCTTACACTTTGTGTGGACGTTGTTTTGTTAGCAGTGTGTGGTGTGATATGGCCTACTTGGTTTGAGATGGTTAATATTTTGAGTGAGGTTTGTCAATTGTCACTTTAAAAGCTGAGATTCTTCAAAATCTTGTGTTGGAACGATGATGCATGAGCATTACTCAAATACATAATTGACACAGTAGTGACTACACTTTCCACTCTGCTGTTTGCAAGTACATGTATCCAGTTGTGCAATTATCTTAGTGGGACTTCCATGCTTTGTACTTACTACTTTGTAATGGTGGGGACTCAGACATATTGTGGGAGTTGCTTTACCATTTCTTCGTAAGAGTTTGGTGGTGCCTATGATGTTAGTTGGATATAGTTAGCAGAAGTGCATAATCATTGCCTTCAAACTTAATAAATCATTATCCATTCCTTTGCTGAAAGAAAGATGATGGTAAGCCTTTGTTATATAGACCAGAATTGGTCTGTTCTTTTGTTAGAGTACGTCAGGGGCCTATTGGGCCTGGGTTGGCTGTATAGCCCATTAGTGTTAAGGTTAATTAGAGATAAGGGTCGCTTACTTAAGGGTCAAGTAAGCTTTACTTGAGAGTCAAGTAAACCTTTCTATATAAGGAGAGGAGATGTATCGATCTAATTAAGCAAGAGATTAGAAGGAAATCCCTTCTCTCTTGCCGGCCGTGGGCGAAGCCCCGCGGCCGGCCTTCCCCAGCGCCCCTAGCCCTAACCGCCACCACCACGTGAACAGTACCCGAGGAACTGTAGCGATGCGGGTACTGTAGCACGCACATCGCCGCCACTTCCCTCAACTCGCTCCTCTCGATCCCAGCAACCCCAACGCCATCCATAACATCTTTCTCGACAACTAATTCCACTTTTGTCCTCTGCCAATTGATGTCTGTTTTTCTGCCTAGATTTTTAACCTCCAAGATTTTTTTTCCCTGACAACCTTAAATGCTTCTTGTGACCAAAAATGTTACTTTCAGGGCTCATGTTTTCATCGCATAGTCAAGGGTTTTATGGTGCAAGGCGGAGATATAACTGTTGGTGATGGAACTGGGGGGCAGTCAATATATGGATTGAATTTTGAGGATGAGAATTTTATCTTGAAGCATGAGAGAAAAGGGATGCTATCAATGGCAAATGCTGGCCCCAACACAAACGGGTCTCAGTTTTTCATCACTACCACCCGAACACCTCACCTGGATGGGAATCATGTTGTTTTTGGAAGGGCTATAAAAGGAATGGGGGTGGTTCGTGCAATGGAGCATATTTCTGTTGATGAAGCTGATCGTCCGACTGATGATATTGTTATTGTTGATTGTGGAGAACTTCCAGAAGGTGCCAATGATGGAGTTGTAAATTTTTTCAAGGATGGTGACATGTATCCTGATTGGCCGATTGATCTCGATGAAAAGCCTGCAGAAATTTCTTGGTGGATGGATGCTGTGGAGTCTGCAAAGGCTTTTGGAAATGAAAGCTTCAAGGTTCCTTTTCTTTTCTTGACTGCATCTTAATGTCATGTACTCTTTTTAAGTCTATGCATGATTTCAACTGTGGCAGACTGTCACTATTAGGCTATTCAGGTTGGTAGCAAACTAGAAGCCATGCAGTTAGCTAATGAACTTCATGTCAATTTCAAAACACAGCATTTTGTGAACACATTAGTGAACTCCACTTGATAAGTTAGCTACTTTGAAAACCCAGCTACAGTCTGCATATCTTGCGTTTTGATTTTAGCCAAATTGTTTGCCAAACCTAAATGCATTTTGGATGTTGCAACTTTTGCTACTGCCTCTATACAGAAACAGGATTACAAGACAGCGCTCAGAAAATACAGGAAATCCATGCGGTACTTAGATCTTTGCTGGGAGAAAGAAGACATTGATGAAGGTAGTTTTCCCTTTTTCTCATCACTGCTCAGTTTGTTTATTCAAAAGCTTGGTAATTAAAGATCAGCGCACATTTTTCTTTTAGTCCTGACAGTCTATTTATGTCAGAGAGGAGCACCGCTCTGCGAAAAACAAAGTCAGTTATATTCACAAATAGCTGTGTAAGTTCCGTTTCAGCCTCTTGTTCGTGCACAGATTTCTGATTCTGTAGTATAACTTTTTGCAAGGTTCTATTTTCTGCATTATTAGTGTTTCCTCAACTGTACCTACAGTTGAGCTGTCCGTTAGATGTGCAAACATTACTACGTCTTGCTAGTATATTGAAGCCAGTTATAACTTCTTCAGGCTTGCAAACTGAAGTTGGGAGATTTCGAGGGTGCTTTGTTAGATGCTGATTTTGCACTGCGTGAAAGGGAGGACAATGCGAAAGCTTTTTTCCGACAAGGACAGGTTAATGTCTGTCTTTGGTATTGAATTGTGGAAATTTTTAAACTTGAAACATCATATCACAAATAACCTTGTGTCATGTATGTGCAATAAGCCTGGTTTGACCAAAAACTGTGACTAATGAAGCATTACTTTTCCCATGATTTTTTCTCTATATGTATATGTATTTGGAGAGTTTTTCTTACATAATGATGTATGCGGAGAATATAACTGGCTTATTTGCATGTGCTCTTTTCGATGGAATGTCTACTTATATGTCACATTCCTGCCACACTATCGTAGTTTTGTAAGTACAATTCTTGCCATTACTGATACCGTATTATGTCCTTGTTGTCTTGGCATTGGTAGGACTGACTTTTAGTGTCTTCATAGTCAATTCAAACCTCCTTTCAGACACGTCAGGTTTCACATTGTACCACATTTGCAGGTACGCATGGCACTCAACCATATTGATGCAGCAGTTGAGAGCTTCAAGCAAGCGCTGGAGTTAGAGCCAAATGATGGTTTGTGTATCACCCTATCTTCTTCACTTGTTATTAATCTTTTGTTCACAACTGAAACCACTGGATTTTGTTTGTGATATCCTCCAGGAGGAATTAAGCGAGAGCTTGCTGCTGCAAAAAAGAAGGTTGGTTTGTTACTTCCGTGAATCTTAGGACTAAGATACCATCTTTTTCTGGATTTTCACTGGCAATTCTGGCAGATTTCTGACAGGCGAGATCGGGAGAAGAAGGCGTTTTCAAAGTTGTTCCAACCTTCAGGAGGATCAGAGAAGGGTGACAAAGTACTTTTCTACTACCACATTCTGTTATTTTCCTTATAAAAGTGTTAGTCTGGATCTTTGTATATGACACGAGTCATTGCCTGCTAATATTGTTGAGCAGAAGTGTTGATGATTTGTTTTGTTCTCTTGTAGGAGAATAGCTGATCCTGCAAGTTTAACTTTTCATAGTTATTCTCTTGTCGCAAGTCAAAGTTTTTAGGTAAAGTAACCAGATCTTGCTTTACAGCCTACAGCCAATATATCCTTTGGTTTTTTTAAACGCGCTTTTTTTAGATAATGAAAAGTTCTGATTGTGTTTTTTTTATTGTTTCAAAAAAAAAGTTTTGAACGTGTTTTTGCTTGCACATTCTGAGTTCATGTTTTATGTTCTTCAGGTAACAGAAGGGAGTTTGCACGACCGGAAATACCCTCATTAGATGACCGAAATAGTTGGGGTGACACCAGAGCCTTTTTGTTTGCAGCATGGAAGGAACCTTGGATCCATGATTCACAACGTTTCGTAGAAATGTATTGCCTGGCAATCGGCATTGACTGAGCATTCGGATTCTCAGACACGTATATTGCCTGGCGTTGACTTAACAGTCAGATTCTCAGACGCGTTTGCTGACAGACGGTTTTGGTCAGTGAATCACCATTGACTTAACGGCGAGTGGTACCGGCATGCACGTGCTTTTGCTTATTTTGTCTTGTGTCAATGCAATGGAGCCCTGTTTAGTTCGCAAAAGTTTTTCCAAAAATGCTACAGTATCTATCACATCGAATCTTACGATACGTGCATGGAGCATTAAATGTAGATAAAAAAAACTAATTGCACAGTTTGGTTGGAAATTACGGGACGAACGTTTTGAACTTAATTAGTCCATAATTGAACACTAATTGCCAAATAAAAACGAAAGTGCTATCGTAGCCAAATTTTCAACTTTCCACCAACTAAACACGGGCGGAGTTATTTTGCGCATAGCCAGCTAGTAGTACCATGTAATAGCCCTGAAGTTGGATTGCACACAAACTGGAACCATTAATGTAAGCACAGTAGTGCAATTCTACAAACTCATTTCAGTGCGGCACCTGATAACTCACGCCGTGTATTTTTCCACCAAAACATTCTACCATCGCCAAACTAACTCTACGTAGACTTCCTATGGTGTCTATGCATTGTAGTTGTCCAGGCCCAGGTCCCTCAAGGCAGACGAGGCAGCATCTTTACAGCTTCCGTGCAGCGCCTTGGCCTTTCTAATAAGCTTTTCTGCACCATCATTAAGCAGGATGGTCCTGCAATGGCATCACCAAATGTCAGGATGTAGGATGTCTATAAACTTGCTGCATTAATAGCGAATGGAATTGGAATGCCGTCCAGAGATCTCATTGTTAGCCAGACTGATTCTGCGTAGGTTATGGTGTCAAAAAGGAAGATGTGTGTGTACATTCCACAACATACCTGTTCTCAGGGTTTCGGACAATAAGATTGCGAATCATAAGGCATGCTTGCTTCTGAGTCTGGCCGGAGGAGGGGAACCTTTCCATTGACTGTATTGCCAGAGTTCCATAGCCTACTTCCATTGCACGTGCTGCATTTTCTGGTGACCTCAGTGTGAGGACCGTCACCATAGACATAACCTGCACATTCATTCACCTCAGGACTGTATCTCAATACAGAAATTCTTCAGTATTCCAATTTCAATAGTACCTCTTGAATTATAGCAGGATCTTCAGAAAATCTGGATGTCAACTTTAGGAACCTATCGAAACCACCTTGCTGAATGATAACAGACTTGTTTGCATCGCTTGCAGCAAGCTTAAAGAAGGAAAAAAATGTGATGTTTGGTTTATTGAAAGTTGAATGTTTTCAAGCAGAAAAGGTTGCAGTGCTGTAGCACACTACCATACCTTGGACAACAAAGAGCAGCAAGATCTTGCTATAACTTTGTTCTTCTGCTCACCAGCCCCATCAATGCATTGAAGAAGCACATCGATTCCACCACTTTCAGATATGGAACGACATATTTCATCCTGTGGCAACACACAACAGAAGATGGTAAAGCTCTCCTATGTCATCTCATAACCAAATAGGTGTAGCTACCTTTTGCTTTATAAACATAGTTCCTCTTCAAGGGAAATAAATGATAAAAACATTAGAAATGGCAAGGATGGCTGACAGTTTATTATAAAGAGTCTCATATTTTTCAAGTGCTAGATTTTTCTGAATACTGGCCACATGAAAATTAAATTTTGACTTGCCAGGGGCTGCTAGCTACAGATGAAAGACTAAACCAATAAGGGCCTATTTGGACACGGGGTTATCAAATCAACTCCATACAGTTTAGTTCAAATCTGAATCCCAAACTTGCCAAAGTGGATACCCTCCTGAGAAGTTATTTTTCCAATTAAGCTGAAGCTTGAACAACTTAAAAATTGATAACATTGCAAAGATTACATTGACTGCAATCGACTTTAAAGCAGCACAAGCAGATGGCAAGCTGGAAGGAGCGACTTGCTCACGAAGTGCATTGACAAGAACTTCTGCAACCCCGATTTCAGCAAATCTCCGGGAGTATCCATATACCTGGCCAAGTTCATCTGTTAGTCCATATTTCAATTACCACATGTCAAGGAAAAATATGCACTGGGCTATAAACACATCAAGGAAAAATTTAGAATCAAAGTTTGCAATCGAGATACACATGCTCTGATTACATTGAGAAAGGTTGCATACAAAAAGAAAAAAAAAAGGCATAATAATGTCACCAAATACTGAAGCTAACACCTTGCACTTCATAGTATGTTAAGATGCTCCTTTAGTATCTAATCATTACTAGAAGTCTATTTTGTACTAAATTGCAAGTTAGAAATCTGATTCTATTCAAATGACTACTGAAATGCTGCTTTTTTGCTTCTTGTTGCATTCCTATTGAAATGATACCAAGAAGTTACAATATTAACAAATGAATCATCACCCCATGCACACAACTAGGTATTAGCACAAGCTATTCACCATGTCACAATCTATTTCATAAAAGATCACAAATGCACTGCCAGGTACTTCCACAAACCACCGCATATTAGCAATTAGCATAGAAACTGGTGCAGCTGCCAATGTGAAACACTAAAACTGTGAATATAGGACACACCTGAGAAGCCACCACTCGGTTATCATCAGGCGTCAACAGAACACGTATGGCATCGTACAAGCTTTGCACATTAGCTTTTGATTTATCCTTCATAACCCGCAGAATGAGTTCATCAACTTTCAGGTCCATAAAGGACTCTTTCACAACTTCATTGCCAGCAGAACCCGCTGCCACAACACTAAATCCAGCATCCAATAAATCTGAATTTTCTGAGCCTCCTTTCAAGAGATCCATGACAATTTTGGGTCCCTCACTTTGTCTGAACTTTTCAGTGCTTGCCACATCTGCAGATTGAATATTTCCTGAAGTTAAAACAGAATGGAAATTGTCTATGACAGGGTATAATTTAGAGTAGACAAGACCTTTCTCAGCACCAGTTTGCAGTGCAAGATCAAGAAAAAGTAAAGATTAATGGATTATAATAATGAGGTAAATAACTATGCATAGAACCATAACTGATATGCGACAGGGTATAGCAGAACAAGACATTTTATAGCTGTGTGCAGTTTGTGAAACTGCATATGGATGGATGTTTATATAATGCCCATAATAGTCATCTGAATACAGCAACTTCGTGGTGAATTTATGTTAACAGTGAATTCATTTTTTTTCTGAAAATGTTGAAAACACTAGTTTCTAGCATGCCATTTCATAGCGTTCGTGCACTTGTAAGTTCAGCCGAGCAGAAACATGTAGCCGTTTCCAAATGCATCTTCACAATACCCAGGAATATACACATGCTGCCATGCTACTTAAAGAAACGGGCTAACGGGAAGTCATTACTACAAGCATGCTGTGAATAGAAGAACAGTGTAAGTTGCCAAACAAAATGACGCATCTCAGAAGACCCGCAAACACACCAATGTCATACCACGGAGCACGGAGCTCAGCGTCTTCAAGGCCGATGCAAGCAACCTCTCCTGCTGAACCCGAGCGGACGCGCACAGGGCAACGAGCGCCTCCACGACGCCATTCCGTACCGCGATCCCTGCATTCTCTGAACCCTCGCCGGAGCTGCACAGGCCGCGCAACTCATCAAGCAGAGAGACGAGTCCGTCGAGATCCTGCTCCGACCCGCCGCTGGCACTGTGAGAGGCCTTCAGCTCGTCCAGAACCCGCACCACCGGGCTCACCTCCGCCGCGGTGGCCTCTCCTGGCACGCGCTTAATGATCCCTGGACGAAGCAGCGAGGGTCTGGGTGAAGATTGCAAGAGTGCAGAGAACGTCGAGGTGCGGATCTGACGAAGAGTGGTTACCGGAGAGATCGGCGCCCTGGAGGGAGAGCGCCTCAACGGCGTCGGCGAGGGCCTCATCGGGGTCCATGCCGAGGTCCTCCATGTTCTCCCGGACCATGGAGTCGAAGGCCTCCTGCGAGATCGCGATCGCCATTTCCTTGCTCTGCTTGTGGGCGTGGGTGCCGGTGCCGCCCAGTGCTGAATGGAAGTGCTGAATGGAATGGAACCAATGCTTTGCTTGGGTTTTTCCCTTTCGTAAGCGAAAGCCTAATGGCAATTTTGAATTTTGAATGGTCTCCGTATTTTGCTTTTCTCTATCTATTTACCTAACTGGCACTAAGCTAAGATATGAATGTTTTTTTTTCAAACTAAAATATGAGTACATTAAATTATTCGTATTTATAGTTTGCTTAGCTTTTTAAGTTTGCAACTACCACCGTCCAAAAAAAGAATATAATTAGTTATATCTATGGTCAAACAATCTAAAATTAATTAAATTTATAGAAAATTTATCTATGCCTATATCTAATAATAAAGAGGTAAAATTTCTGCTACGAAATCTTTCATCCGACTAAGACATCGACTGGATTACGGTTTACATTTTTTCCATATTCATGTCATGATGCAGCCAGCGGTAGTCAATAGCCCAGGTGTATGCATTATATGGCGCCTACTTGCCCGTTTAGTGCTATGCCGAATTTGATTCCAGGGAGCCCAGGACCGCCCCGGATGGCTTCTGCTTCCTCTGCTCTCCAGATAGCTCCCCAGCAACCCACGACAGCGGCAGTGGATTGGACTTGGACTTCGGCGACGGCAGGCTGCGCGGCCTAGGTGGGGCACCACGGCGCCGACCTCCTGCACCAGGGATAGTCGCGTGACGTCGGAGGATGCGAGGATGGCCAGGGCGGGTGCGGGCCGAGCCCTGGCGATGTGCTACTGGCGGTGGCCGTGCTCGCGAGGCTGGAGGCCACGCTGCGGGCGCCCGCGGGGGACCCCGACGCGCGCGTGGACCACTTCTTCGATGCCACGGCGGGCGCCGACGCCGGGGGCGTGTTGGCCGCAATGCTGCTCCTGAGGGGCGACAACTCGCGGGCATATTGCCAACGCGCTGGCGTTTGTGGCAGCCATCCTCGGGAGGCACGGTGGGTGTGGCGACGCCAGCACCGGCGGCAAGCTATGGAGCAGGTGGGTCGCACTGTTCCGCCGCAGGGAGAGGTCCTCGCCACTGCGTCGGGTGTTCGGGGACGCCACGCTCAGGGACACCGTGGCCCCACTGCAGGTCCCCTGCTACGACCTCGGGTGGAGCGCGTCGATGATGCCGCCAACTCCACCGTGCTGGAGGTGTGCCTCCCGGGCGCTGGCATCGAGCTCCCGTTGACGCGGGCCAGGGACGAGCCCAAAGCCGCCGGTCGTGCGCTTTGCCTGCTCGTGGCCCGCTCATCATCGACCTCGTGGCGCGGGATTTTGCGGCCTACGCCCGCGCGCCGCTCGGCGCCGACGGCCATGACGCCTGGGTCTTCGACGTAGACGGCGGCCGCGTGCCCACGTGTGTCATGGCATTTTCGGAAGTGGCAATGCTAGCGGCGCGTGATACAGCGGAGGGCGCGGTCGGCGTCGATGGCGCGGAGCACCGCGGCGGCTCGAGGGCGGTGCGCCGCAGCGGCGAGGCGCAGGATGCCAATCATAACCACGACGGCGGCAAGGCTCATCTTGTCCGGCTGCTTGGACACGAAGTACAGTACCTGCTGCATCCTCCGTCGAGGGCAACTGCCGGAAGGCCTTCAAGTCCGAGGGAGCCTGAGCCGGGGCCCGTGATCTGCTATTGAACCATGATGTCTTGATGACGTCATATATGTTCTTTTCCCCTTCGAAAATTAAGAAGGAAATATCTTAAAAATACAAATATACATATCTCGGTCGTCAGCTATCCTGAGCCGTCCATCCTTTAATCTGCGGCCTAGACGAAAGAAAGAAGAGGGGGCATGATGGTCTTTTTGCATGTGGTTGACGACTCAGCACCATCGTGCCATGCGTGCGTGGCGTGGCACATGAGCAAATATGGTAAATTTGTTGACGTTTTCTATCTGCGGGTGAAAATATCGTGAACAATTCTAAAGCTGCTGCCTAAGGAGGTGCCAACCGTAATTATGTTAAAATGTTAATAATCCCAAGAAAAACATTCAAGTAAGAATCATTTTGATGATCCAATATTTTTTAAGCCTGTATGAGTTAAAGCAGTGTGACCGAGATACAATCTCAAGAATCAATTGAGGAACATAACATAATAATTAATCTATGAGCTTCTCATGTTCAATGTGTTAGGAAAAACGTGAAGTCTGGTTGCAAGATGCTGGAACGCAATGACATGATCGTGGAATTTTCGAGCCACAAATCATTGAATTATATAGATCCTAAATATATAGATCCTAAATTCTATTTCAACGCACGGGTATTTTTGCTAGTAACACTAAATAGGTATACTGTAAACACTGCATGACGTATCCAACTATACTTAGTGATATCATAAATAATGACACTTATTTATATAATCTTGATCAAACTCAAGGTGATTTGAATCTCTACTATACAGTGGTGCAAAGGCAAGTGAGTCTCTGGCCATCATCATCGATTAAGATAATCATCATCGTATCATATCATCGTATCATATATAAGATCTATAATAATATAATAAGTAGACCTTGAGACGCCACAGTCCTACAGTGCCAGGTCCCATACTTGACTATAATAATAATAATAATAATAATAATAATATTTACTTTATTTATTTAATCTCTATCTCTTATCTCTTATATAACTAAAACATACGGATTATCAACATCCACTCGGCAGAACCAAAACACTCATATGATCCATATCCGGCAGGCAAATAATCACCGTATGGAGACACTGGAAGGCAAGTAAATAAAATAGAATAAAACGAAAACAGAATTATGGGAAGAGAAAGAAATTTATTGGAATATCACCACACAATGATCATGATCGTGATCCAAATCTCGTTCGTCGTCCTTCACGTTGTGTGTTAACAACAAATATTTTTTCCCAAAAATGAATTATTGCCATGCCTCGTGCGGACTAGGATGTTGTAAGTCCGAGTATACATGTTTTGGCAAGACAGAGCATGGATAAATTTAATTCAATGCTCTTCAATAAATTTTCAGCCTTTGAGACAACTGATGTTTGTAGTAACTTTCAGACAACAAGCTCCAAGCTTAACTTTTATTTCAGATTCATTAAGATAATGAACGTGTTTCTAAACATTATCATGGTATAATACACGTGAAAAATTAAATTGATATAGGTCCCGTTCGCTTCGCTAAAAAAACACGTCGAAACACTATTCCGACTGATTTGTTGTGAGAGAAAAATATAGTTAAAACAAGCTGAAAAAAACGAATTATAAAAGAAGCGAACAGAGCCATATTCTTAATTTTAACTTGACCTAACAAACATCACATTTAATTTATATTGCACTCGTTGGGACACTTATCTTCGTCTAGTTTAATTTAAATAAGTAGATCCTGAGACGCCACAGTCGTACAGTGTGCGATCCGTCTAATTAGATCCTGAGACGCCACAGTACTACAGTGCCAGGTCCCAGGCTTGGCCGTGCGATCCGTCCATCCAACGGTTCCACGTTTGCTACTGTTCTACTGTTCCCATCGCAGGGTCGCGGTGACGGCCTTATCCTTCCACCGCCTCGGCCGCTCCGCGATGGGCTTGCTGAAATTTAACTCTAAGTGACTGAAAAATATATTTTAAATATTACGAGAAAAAAACACGATTCTGATCGAAAAAACAAAAACCAAAGATAAGTTAAGCCGGGGCCTCCGCGCCTCGCCTCCCACGTGCCCGTCCTCATCCGCTCGCCCCTCACCTCCTACGACGCTGCCGCCGCCGGTGAGGGAGTCACGCCTGATGTCGCGCCAGATGCCGCGGCAACCGAGGAGGAGTGGCACGCCGCCGCGCCTGCTTGCCTGCTGTCGCGCGGACGGGACGGAACCACGCCCGCACGTCGAGTGTCACCGCGCACCCTCCGTCTTCGTCTCTGCCCAAGCCTGGTGGCCGCGTACGTCCACCTCGCCGTTGTCTTCGAATACATCGATGCCGTCGAGGTTCGTGTCCCCTTCTTCTTCTCAGTCTGGATCTGGGGTTGAACCTCGATGGGGTGTTGCCGCCTTCTCCATGGACCTTGCTTTCCTCTTTCATTTTTATTTTTCTTGGACAAGAGGAAGAAGAGGGGGCAGGACAGAAAGGGACCTGCGCCTTTGCCCGCTCCCCGCATCGCCCCCGCCGGCCTCTTCCTCGCTCTCCCTTTCCCGATCTGTACACGAGTGCTTCCTCGCTGACGAACGCTGCCACTGCCTCCCCCGAGCAGCGTCCCCATCCACACCGGCGTAGCCTTTACGTCCCCACGGACCTACCACCACAACACCATGGACATGGAGCAAGGTACGTTTCATACTCCATGGCTATTCCTTTATTGCATCCTATGTGTTCGACGACATGCCTCTGTGCTGTGATGGTTTACTAAATGCTACTCGGTTTCCTCTGGTTCTCTGGTGCAGCTAATACTGATTCCAGCTTCATTCAAACAGTCTAAAAACCCTTGATGTTCCCCCTGAAACGAAAAAATTAAAACTTTAGGTGCAATGGCTGATTAATAAGAAATCGCAAGCACATTTAACAGGCACAAAATGAACAGGCCTACCTGCAGCTGGCCGCACTAACATAGGCTTCCTAGGTTTGAGGAATCCTTCAGTCATGGACGTTGTGGAGGACTTTCATGTATTGGTAGAGCAACTGATCAATAACTTGTGATTACATCATGGTTGACTGCATTATTATCAGCTTAATTGTGCATGACCTCTGTTTATGCCTGACAGGATTTTTGAGGATTTTGTGTAGTAGTAAATTCAGCTATATGCTCCATAGTCGAGTATTTTGATAAACTTTCACGAGAAAATTGCATATTTGGGACTCCAATAGTTGCTCTTCGCAGTTTTGGGACTCCAAACATCGACTTCGTAAAAATAGCCCTCCAAACGTTGGACTCTTGATTTTCTTGACATTATGTGCATTTTCTCCCTTTTGTAGCATTCCTCCATGTATTTGTCACCTCAATGAACTTTTTGCCCTCCTGATGTTTTGCCGTGCCGCTCGTACGCACGTGACCCGTGCTGCTTGGTACGTTGCCGCTGGTACGTACGTGACCCGTGCCATGGCTGCTGGTACGTGCTCACACGTACGCTTGGACGCTCGCCGCCTTGGCAGGCAGGCAAGCAGGCCGCTGCCGCCGCCCCTGGGAGGCAAGAAGACTGTACTGTATTGACGGGAGGAGGAGCGGTGGGCAGCAGAGACCTCGCTAGGGCGATCGCAGTGGCCGGCGGTGGGGATTCGCGCAATCCATGGCCATGGCGTCGGGCGCGGCCAGGCTAGGGATCGGCGCGGCCAGGGCTCCGAGGGCCGAGGCCATGGCTCCTGCGGCCACGTCCTGGGCGAGCGGGGCGTCCATGGCTGGCGCGTCGAGGTCGTCCGGCGGCTGGCCTTCCATGGCTGGCGGGAGTCTCGTGCGGATGGCCTCGTGCGGCGGCGCCGCGGTGGCCAGAGACGAAAGTTTCGATCTGTTTTTCTTTTTCGTAGATTGCATTCACGTACGTGGTTATCTCGTGTGAGGCCACAGGGGCAAAAGGGTCCGTCCAGGTCACAAATACATGTATACATACTAGAAAAGAAAGAAAATACACATAATGTCAAGAAAATCAAGAGTGCAACGTTTGGAGGCCCATTTTTACAAAGTGGACGTTTGGAATCCCAAAACTGCGAAGCGCGACGATTAGTCCCAAATATGCAATTTTCTCAACTTTCACATGTCCATGTTACGCTTGTGCACATTCATGTAAGTTGTGATCTGAAGCAGCAAGTAGCTGCATGTTAATTGGCTTCCGCTTTGGTTTTGTTTTTTTAATTACTGTTATTGTGGTATCAAATAATTTGTCGTGTATTAAGAAAGTAAACATCTGATACTTTTCGTTTGGGTTCTTTACCTACTGCCCAACTACTGCAAACCGTCCTGTCGCCTGATGTTCATCTCACTGCCATAGAGGAAGGTAAACAAGAGGTCGCTGCTCCTTCGTTGGCCAGCAGGTTCGCCCCGTCACGAACCTGCTACAGCACTCATGGCAACGACCGTCTACATAGAGGTCAGTGAATGTTTAGGTAATGCCGCTTCAATTCAGTGAATCCAGGTACATAAAGGTCAGTGTTGTTACTGTACGATTGCATTTCTCTAGATTGCCCAAATGTATAGATTTACCCTTATATATACTTTCTATTGAATCAATATCCTGATCGGCTGTGCTCTTCCGACTGCTGCAGTAGGTGAACACAAGCAGCACACATTACATGGATAAGCAGGTTGGTCTCTGCAGCAACAGTTGCAGCTACAACCTAGAAAAGAGCGATCAGGCCTGAAAAAAAACTATCTTATCTGTTTAATACTACAGTTTCATTTCAAGCTTATCATTTGATGATTCTTATTACTCTACTGCTTAAAGACTATTGAGATTTTATTGAACGAGAGATGTGAATATTGTTTTAGTTACAATGAGACTTTGGGTCACACTTTCCTTATGATGATAACAACTGCAGTAGAGTACAAGTTGTTATTTCGCCTTCCTTTCAGTTGGATTACATCATCAATATATGTTAGGGGGAATTTCTTGTGTGCCATTAAAAAAGATCGCAATGCCTGTGTGTCCTTGGAAAAGTTCAGCGGTCTTCAGCGCTACTGCTCTAACTTTTTTTGCTCTCCATGCCACTGCCGTCAGTTTAAGCTCTAACGCTGTCAAACTGCAGTTGTAAAAAGACGAAAATACCCTTAAGTCTAAATATGCTATTTTTTTAGCATCTTAACGACTTCAAATGAAAAAACTCAAAACTAGAATGTTGTAGATCTCGTCGAGATCTATAATTTTCATATAAAAATTATCTTCATTTAATTTCGTAAAAAATATGATTTGATATGATTAATATATCTTACAAAAATTATATCTTTTTTTTCGGAATTAAATGAAGATAATTTTTATATGAAAATCTTAGATCTCGACGACATCTACAACTTTCTAGTTTTGAGTTTTTTCATTTGAAGTCGTTAAGATGCTCAAAAAAAATTAATGACATATTTAGACTTAAGGGTATTTTTGTCTTTTCACACCTGTAGTTTGATGGCGTTAGAGCCTAAACTGACGGCAGTGGCATGGAGGGCACAAAAAAAGTTGGAGCAGTGGCGCTGAAGACCGCTGAACTTTTTCAGGGACACACAGGGTATTGAGATCTTTTTTAATGACACACAAGAAATTCCCCCTATATTCCCCCTATATGTTACCCATATTTAGCTAACGCACAAATTTCTTATCCGACTCTGATCTCTGGAAATTTTTTTTTTGCTATGGTCGCTTATATTGCTGTAATAGCACCCGCGGCAACGTGCGGGGTTCTGCTAGTAAACTCATCAATGTATGGAGCAATTCAGCAGTACAAAGAAGTGAATAGCACGGAGCATAGGGCCACACGGATACTGCACCAAACTCTGACCTATAACTCGAGTTCATGGTGTAACCGTGTAAAACAAGCAACAAAGCCAGCATAGTTCCCAAATTACAAGTTATGGATTCCGGGTCATTGATCTCATCGACAATGGTCAGTTGGTCACGAAGAGGAAATCAAGTATACATAGCCAATCAAGGGTTAGAGGCGACAGATTGCAATGCAACTGCCGATGTTCTTTCATCATTTTCAGATGTGTTTTGAATTGGTTCCGGAACGTTGAATCTTGCGAAATGTTCAATGTTTTAGGACTGATTATTGAATCCAGCATAAGAGCATCTTCAAGAGCATTTCTAAAATTTACTCTCTAATTTATCATTTAGAGTTATTTTTGAGTAAAAAATTGCTTTCCATGTTTTTTTTATCCTCCAACAACTTTTATATATCTTGTACGCACTCTAGAGAGCTATCTTCGCTCTTGATCTTTGGCTAGCGAGAGATCTGGAATAGAAGATGTATATATTTCGATATCAAATTAAAGAGGTTGTTGAAGAGTTTTTTTTTTCACCAAAATATATATTCCTATAAATTAACAATAATATAAAGAGTCTCTTGGGTTGCTCTAAGGACTATACTTTGGCTTTGGTGCTCAATAAGACTTTGTTCTAGAATAAGTAAAGCTACTAAGGAAGATATGATGATAGAAGAATATGGATAGAATACTATATTTTTATTTTAGATTTTTTTCTTGCATAATTTAGGGATGTACCGTGTCGAATTTTAATATAATTCCTCCTTCATTTTGAAAAATCAGTTCCCAAATTGCTGATGGTACAACAAATACTTCTAGCATTTTTAAGTCTTCCATGCCCTAGATGCGGTGGTAGCGTAGATATGACGCCCAAATCCAACTCCGCTTTCTGTGGTGAGAAAGGAGTGTGTTTTATTGGTTGTCTAAATCTTCTCATCAACCAAACACAAGTACAACTATGGCGTCACTATTCACTACAACGTGGCAAGCTGTGGTCGGGATTCAAACACTCCCTAACAAACATTGATAAAAAACCATTTGTTTTATATACGGGAACGCATAGGTGAAATGTAGTGTCAAATTGTAGGTTCCTACCAAAAAATCTTACACCCAAGACAAGTTACTTTGCTTTGGAACGATGATATACATCGGTATCAGCTGGCTACGAGACAAGACACGACCCCTAATTAGTAGTAGGGACGCAGCCGAATGACTAGAACACCCCTAATTAGTAGTAGGGACGCAGCCGAATGACTAGAACAACTTGGAAAAAAAACATACAACAAAAAATGAAGGACAACACTTGTAACAAAAAAAAAACAACAACGAGAAACAACACGACTGAGAGGCTAAGTTGTATATCATGTTCTTAGTTGCGGAGTTGGGACCCGACAGTTTTTCCAATATTTATATATTTTCTTTTTTTATCTAATAAAATTAACGGTAAAGCTTTTGTCATCCCTCTAAAAACAGGAGACACCGCTAACCCTCTAACAGTATTAAAACCCATCATCATATGGTTGAGAGAGCACTGTTGTAAAACATATGGACTCTATCTAGAAGGAAAGGAGAAGGTAGAATTGTCGGGGACCAATACCAGAGTACCCGAAGAGGAGGAGCTAATAACCATCAACATTGATTCATCCGAGCAGTCACGAGCGTGATTACAGCTCCAACCGACCCCCAGGTATGCAAACTCCACCTCG